TATGTATATCTATCTAGATGTGTATATATGTATATCTATCTAGATGTATATATATATGTATATCTATCTAGATGTATATATATGTATATCTATCTAGATGTGTATATATATATGTATATCTATCTATCTAGATGTCTGTCTATCTAGATGTCTGTCTATCTATATGTTTATGTATAAATAAAGGATTCATGTTAATTTTGTTTTCACCTTCCAAGTTACTGTTAAACGATCTATGCAGACTAATGTAGTTTATTTCAAAGTGGCCACTTGTGCACATTTCAAGAAATGCACAATTAGTTTTGTCAGATTAACTTGTTCGGCCTAGACCTCTTAAGATCAAGTAAAGAAAATTTTACATGAACGTGGAAATTAGGTTGAACTTTCTCACTTCAGTGAACTGAAAAAAATAAGACGATGAGTGACAATACACCAAACATCAATCCGTCCAAGAATCTTTTACCCACTTCTTCCTTTTCGGGTCACAGGGGTCACTGGTGCCCATGTCCAGCAGTCACTGTGCGAGAGGCGGGGGACACCCTGGACATGTCCATCACAGGGACACATGGAGACAAATGAGACAAACAACCATTCTCACTCTCACCTAGGAACAATTTAAAGTTACCAATCAGCCTAACATGCATGTTTTTGGTCTGTGGGAGGAAACTGGAGGACCTGGAGCAAACCCACCACACATGCACAGAGAGAACATGCAAACTCCACCCAGAAAGGTCCTCCACCATGCTGCCCCATCACAAACTTAACTGTGATAAATATTTGATCACCTGCACATCTTAAACTACGTATGTCTTCAAATATACAAATAATTTGTGTATTTATTCCCTCACTACCCTCTGTTTTAATGATTTCTCGAAATTGACACAATATTTTTTTCATTTTTTTTTTTTTTTCAGCCAATGACGAAGAAGAAGAAAAAAAGGAGGTCACCGATGGAGGCGGGTGGAGTGATAAAGTTTCTCTCTACAAGGGTGACATCACTGTTCTGGAGGTGGATGCCATCGTCAATGCTGGTAGGAAATCTGACCTTTTCACCTTTTGAGACTGTGGCGGTTTGATGGCTGCGCTGGTGTTCAGCGGTCTTTTACTCCCCTCTAGTGTTAACATGCAGGGATTGCTGGTGCATGATGTTTGGTACGCTCAGTCTGAGGCAAATATAAAACACAACAAATCACAGATGGATCTGACTTGGGACGCAATTCCTACTTTTTTTTTTTTCGTTTTAGACTGTGCCAGTAAAACTGAATGCGTCACTAAATTAATTTAGATGTGACACGTCTGTTTTGTCCTTACTTTATTGTAGGTTTTTATAAATGCTTAATGCATTTGAAAGGGAAAATGTGTTAATTAATCTGTTTGAAGTGAGTAAATGCAGGAGCACGAGCGATTGTAAGATATGCCTAATTCAGGACTGCACCACCGTTCTGTAACTTTATGCTGTCTGCTCACACACACTACGGTTAGTGATGCTTAAAAAATGTGTTGACATTTTAATTTTGTAGCAGATCTTGGAAATCTTTCAGCAGCTTTTACCTCGGGATATAAATATGGAATATCTTGGAAACCTGTGCCAAAAAATAAATAAATCATATAGTAAGAAACCACAGTATTTCTCACATATACATGGTTAACGTGTTCATTAATTAAAACTTTGCGAGCAGAATTTGTGAGCGGCTGCCCGGCGGTCTGGCAACGGTTTGGCGATGGCAACGTGCTCGGTAGTCTGAAAGATTTGACGTCTTCATCAGTTCAATTCCAAAAAACTTTATTTGTCCCAAAGGGGAAATTAAAATACACGACACGTGTGAATCGTTTACATTCAGATTTGTTTAGCTTAGGGGGCAGACGTGGCGGAGTGGTTAGAGCAGTCGTCCTCCAATGGGAGAGTTGAGGGTTTGATTCTGCCACTATGCAGTCACATGTTGAAGTGTCCCTGGGTAAGACACCGAACTGCCTCCGATGCGTGTCCCATCGGTGTGTGATGTGATCTATAGCGCTGATTAGTCTCTATTGAATGATTTGTAGATTATCTTTGTAGAGGTGTAGTAGAGTGCTGTATGACTGTGTGTGTGGAGGTAAACGAGGACACGTGTTGTGTTGTAAAACACTTAGAGTATCTTGATTAGCTAGAAAGGTTTTGTATAAGTACAGTCCATTTACTATTTACTATTTGCTGAGTTCAGTAAGCAGATTCAAAAATACATTAAACTAACCAGCCTATCAGAAGTCTCTCTTTATGATCCCCAGTGTTTATTTTTGGTTGTTGTCTTATTTGATCTTTTTCTTTTCTAGCAGCAGAATCACTTCTTTATTTCCACCTAAACGTCTTTGAGATTCGACGCTTGTTAGATTCTGCCATTTTTGTTTACCCACACCGACTGTAGTGGTGTGCAGATCCATCCAAATATCGGTATTATTGATACCAGCGCTAGCGTGATTCAGTACTTGAGTTGGTTTCGCTCCTCGTCTTTCAGTGCGTCGTTCTTGTACGGTGAAAGAAAATGAAAAAGTGTTATTTTTTTCTGAACAACAACAAAGAATGTACATTTTAGAGCATTCATTCTTAACGTTGTACTAAATACATTTGTGCAAACTTTGCAAAAAAAAAAATCCACTCCGGTTATTAAAATGCAAATCAGTTGCTAAAAAAAAAAGTAAACAAAACAAAAATCGGCATTTAATGATCATGAAACTATAATCAAATTGAACACATTGATGATAACGCACTACTGTATATCTGGAAAACTTCTGTAGTGAATGTTTTCAAACTGAAGCATTTGATGTAGTTCAAATAACATTTTTGTCCCCAGTCACAGAGAGAAAAGGCCTCTGTCAGTCGGTGAATGTTTGAGCATGGTAGCTTGAAAAATAAGTGAGTTACTGACTTCCTTTTTAGTATGTGGGTGCATCTAGGTGTAACAAAGGTCCCTATTGAAAATTGGGCTGCCACCTCGAAATCCAAGATGCATATGAACACGTATATCTAAGATATATGTGAACCGACCACCCCATCATTTCAAGAAACTATACTTTATAATTTTTAGATTCCTTAAAAGTATAGTTTCCTCAAATGATTGGGGTGGCCTCCCCCTGGCTCCACCAGTGCACTTGGTGGTGGATAAAATTGCTCTTTTTACTTACCACGATGCATCGCTCTGTCACCTCAGACACAAACAACAAAAAAGACCTACCTCAGTTTTTTTCCACAGTGTAACTCCTAATCACATGAATATCTTGCACCAAACACATTAAGGTTAACTTGTATTCCCTGTTTAATTCCAGTCCAGAAAAACACTAATCTCAAAAACTACAAACATTCACTATTTAAATCCCTCAGCGATGGGGGACATCGGCGTATCTCATGTTTATGTTTTGTTTCATACTTTGCCAAGAGGAGCTGTAACTTAGTTGGCTAACTTTTACTAACTCACAGAAGACTGCAAACACAAAACCACATTAATGTCCAGAACATAGTTTACTCCTCTGTGAAAATATTACATATCAGTTAGATTACGCAGCATCAAAAGTAAAACACAACTAGAGAAATTGCATTTCCTGCAAAAATCAGTGTAAATTGAATTGGATTGCTGAAGAATTTGCAGAAAATAGCTGAAATTATCTAAAATAAAAGCTGAAATTAGCAAACAATAGATGAAAGGTAGCTGAAAAGGCAGAAAGAAGTTTAAATTAGCAGAAAAAAGTCTGAAAGGAGCAGAAGCTAGACAGCTTGAGAGTAGCAGAAATTACCACAAAAAAACTTGAATTTATCTGAAAACGGCTGAAATTAGCTAAAAAAATGCTAACAAGGTAGCTGAAAATTTAGAACAAGCTTAAAGTAGCCGAAGAAAGCAGAGAACTCAAGTTTGCCCAATTATACTGAAAGAATCAGAAAGCACAAAAATGTAGTCATCTGAAAAAAGCAGAAATTTGCAAAACATACAGCTGAATAGTAGCTAAAAAAACAGAAAGAGGCTTAAGTTACCAGAAGGAAGTGTAGAGACCACAACTGTGCCTAATTAGGCTGAAAGGAGCAAAAATGAGCACAACAAAATGGAAATTATCTGAAATAAGCAGAAATTAGCCAACACACATGCACACACACACAGCTGAATAGTAGCTAAAAATGCAGAAAGCTTAAATTACCTGGATCACATGGAGAGCCCATTTTTGCTGATTTAGGCTGAAAATAGTTGAAATGAGTGCAAACATTGTGGAATTGGCTGAAAAGGCTAAAATGAGCATAAAACAGCTAACTAGTAGCTGAAATAGCAGAAATAGCTGAATCTTGCAGAAATAAGTTGAAAGGAGCATAACAAGCTGAAATTAGCAGAGATAAGTTAGAAGAAGCGCAAAAATGTTGTAGTTAGCAGAATAAAGCTGAAAGGAGTATGAAACGACTGAAAAACATCTGAAATAAGCAGCTGATTGTTTTTAATGTGAAGTTTTATGTTTATATACAAGTAAAATGAACTGGTGAACATCGGAGCGTGTACATTTTCAGTTTAAACACCTCCATGTCTTTGTTTTACCCCAGTAAATACTATTAAAGTTCTGACAGGAAGTTTATTTCCACTTTAAATGCTTCCAGACATCCAGGTTGTGATTAAACTACAATAAGGCAACGTCTACTTCTTTTTTTTATTTTATTTTTTTTTAGCTAACCATCAGGGAGTCTGAAAGGCTGGACGAATAGCTGAAGGCTTTTATGATTTTTATAACGTTAGTCCATTCACATCGCCAGACTGACTGTCTTTGTCCAGGTGCTGCGACTGATAAGAATACATAGTGGTGGATTTTTCTTTCCAGTTTTATTTACTGTCTCTGCTCATTTTGCTCAGTGGGATTTTGTGAATATGCACTTTTGTGTGGATGCATTATTTTTCTCACAGCCGACACAAGAAAGCAATTCCGCCTTATTTTATGTTGTATAAAAAAAATGCCAACAAACATTAGGCCGGACAAACGCTGACTTTTGTCACTCTTGCTCAAGTTTTAGTCAGAATCGCAGATTTTTCAGACAACATTGTCGATGTTGAGCAACACCCACAATCAACTTTCATCTGTCTATTTTTTTCTGTTACCTGAAACTTTATTTCTGCTCATTAGATGATTGTTGTTGCCTGTGTGTATGTGTGCACGTGTGTTCATTGTCTGTTAGCAATTTATCTGTTTTAGCAAATAATCATTGGCTGTATGTCTGAGTCAGCTCAGTTCAAGATGGCCACCCCAGCTAAACCACTTTATTAGAAACAAAAATTATGAGCTAAAATTTAAAGTGGTAGTACCTGAGACTGATCCACACTGCATGCTCTGACTGCTAAAAGATGATCTGCTTGAAGTTAACTTTATCTTTTAGCAAAAGATTTCAAGAACCACTCGATAGATTTTAATGAAACTTTTGGGAAATAATCAATGGATGTGGGCGACACGGTGGCTCAGTTGGTGGAGCTGTTGCCTCTCAGTGAGAAGGTTGCCGGATTGAATCGCAGCCGGGGGCCTTTCTGGGAGGAGTTTGCATGTTCTCTCCGTGCATGCGTGGGTTTTCTCCGGGTACTCCAGTTTCCTCCCACAGACTAAAAACATGCATGTTAGATTGATTGGTAACTCTAAATTGTCGCTTGGTGTGAGTGAGAGAGTGAATGGTTGCAGTGTTTCCCCTACCATTATACAATCAGGGTGCCCCGCCCTGTCAACAAAACTTAGCGCCCTGCCTACTGAACTCTTCCCCCACCCCCCGAAAACTGCCGGCACTGACGTAGCACTAAGCTAGCGATGCGCAATACAGACGTGCTAGCTAAAAAAGCTATGACTATGGCTGTAGCGCCCCTTCTCCACTCACGCTGAGCCGTCTCCTCTCCACCCCCCACCCCCGTCGACAAAAATCTTGGAAGCTATGAGCGCCCTGCCAAGGCAAGTAAACTAAGGGAAACACTTGAGTTGTTTGTCTCTATGTGTCCTTGTGATGGACTGGAGACATGTCCAGGGAGTCCCTCGCCTTTCGCACAGTGACTGC